GTTTGTAGTTCTAAAAATAAAGTTAGTTTCTTTTTGACAAGTGGCTCCTGATTTGTGCCAAGCCAGACTTCGGCAGAGTTCCATTCCCAATTACCTGAACAAATACCCCACAAAATACTACAGTATCACATTTTGTTAAAATTAAAAAAAAAAAGAGAGAGAGAGAGAGGCATAAATCATATACAATATTGCACTTTAATAAAAATTATATTAAAATGTACTTGTACATCTTTAAATACCATATGTGTCATATTGTGTTACCTTTATTTCATGTTATGAATAATTTATATACTTGCCAAATGTACATACATGTTACATTTATATATTATATACTAAATATACTACATAATATATACATATATAGTAATATAATGCTACTTTTTATTTTTAGTGTTACCAGGAATTGACCCAGGGCCTTGAAGCATGCTGGGCAAGCAGCTTTATCACTGAGCCATATCCCCAGCTCTATTTTATTTTTTATTTTGAGACAGGGTCTCACTAAGTTGCTTAAGGTCTTGATAAATTGCAGAGGCTGGCATTGAACTTGGATCCTCTTGTCTCAGCCTGGTATTACAGCAAGTGCCAGCACTCCTGACTAATGTCACTTTTGGAAATAAAATTTTTACATATCTATTTGTATGTGTTTTATGTCATGTATGTTACATATAACCCAAAATATATGTTACAGATAATGTGTATGTATGTGTGTGTATATATGTATACATTTATCTCGTTCCCAGGACTCAGCTGAGGTCATTTTGTCCTTTGGGACTGAAATAAAATTGGTTGTATTCTCTGGCCCAGGTTTATGGACATTGCAATGTATAGTGTCCTCATTTTATCCAAATTCCCAGGGGCTCCCTCTCAGCCCAGCTAGACTTCTCTTTCCCCTGCTCCAGCTCAGCAGTAAGGATGAAGCTATTAGGCTTGATTCTCTAAAACTACTTGCACAAGGCCAGTGAGCATGTGGGGTTTTTCCCTCAAGTTGAGATGCTGAATGGTGATGCCTTTCCTGTCCCAATGCTGGTCCAAGCAAGCACACAAGACACGCCCCCTCTAGGCTCTCTTGCCTCCAGCATCATCTTGTGCTAGCTCTTCACCTTCAGGCACTACAAATTGGACCCCCTACTTGATTCTGATGGATGTCAGGTCTGGGACAGAAGAGAACAAGAGGAAACTCTGCCGCTCTCAGACTGGGAATTGAACCCAAGGATGCTCTACTACAGAACTGCATCCCCAGCTCTTGAGTATTTTGAAATAAATTGCTAAAGCTGGCTTCAAACCTGGGATGATCCTCCTGCCCCAGGGTCCCAAGTAGCTGGGGTTACAGGTGACTGCCCCACACTGGCTTTACAGGTCTCCCCACCCACACCCCCAGTGCTAGGGATTGTACCCAAGGCCTCACATATGCTAGGCAGCCGCTCTATCACTGCGCCACACCCCTAGACCAAGGGGAAACGCTTACCAAGGGTTATGTCATTATCTCGGCCAGTTTGCAAGGAAGGTATGTTAGCACCATACGGCGGAAGCTTCCAGAGCAATTTCTGAGTGAATCTAGGCTGTGTGGAGTACGATTCTTTCTGTGCCTCAGTTTCCTTATCTACAAAATTAGAATGACGCTAATATTTAATAAGGTTGCTGAGCATTAAATGAGTTAAATATAGGAGAATATCTTTGAACCTGGTCGTAGGCATAAGTTTCTTAGAGTTGATAAGTATGAAGTGCTTAGCTAGTGTTTAGCTCAGAAATACTGTTAAAGGTTAATTATTTGTTCTCTTCACATACACGAATTGTGTCCTCATGCCACCCCTCCCGTGAACATGCAGAAGCAGCTACACAGTTTGGTTTTTGAATCACATGTTTATACTTATATCTAATACTTGGGTTTCTCTTCAGTGATATAAATCTTTGTCTTTATGTCTGAATTACCAGAAGAATGCATTTCAAGATAAAGTGGATGGGATTTTAGTATTTCTATTTATTTTTTTATCTATCTATCTATGCCTTTTTAAGTTTGTATATTGAGCATTTGTTCTTTTTGTAATTATGGAAAATACTTTTGGAGAGAAGGTGCTGGGGTGTGGCTCAGCAGTAGACCGCTCACCTAGCACATGTGAGGCCCTGGGTTCAATCCTCATCACTACATAAAAAATAAATAAAATCAAGGTATTGTGTCCAACTTAAAAAGAAAAAAAAAAAAAAA